GTTTCTATCCATGATGTTCTGATTCTACGCACAAATCTACGTCGGAATACGCTTCAAAATAATTTTTATAAAATTCCCAAACTTGCGATTTTTTAATCTTATTTTTTAGGCGATCTACTTCCTCGCCTCCGACGACAGCTCGTTCACCACCGGCGACCTGCTCCGCGTCGATGGCGGCCGAGGCATCATGCATCCACGCTGATTTCGTATTTTTTTCTCTCTACTTGGTATTTATTAGAACCGTTGCCATCCTGTGATACATTTAGCTACCTGTATTTTCGGTTCTTTAGCATTATCGGGGGGGTTCTAAGTATCCAATTTTTCTAAGCCGTTTTTTGTTATTCTGAAGACTACAAACTTTATTAACTTTGGGGGAAAATACAAAAAATAGCAATTTTTCGCTTAAAAATGACTGATTTTTGACCAAAAGTTCAGCCCAAAATTTTTTCTACGTTTTTTTTAGATGATTTTTCCTCTTGGAATACAGTTAAGCTTTAATAAGAATACGATAACAACATGAAAAACTGCCCCCCCCCCCGATAATGCCAAAGAACCGTGTTTCCGTGTAAGATTAGTATATTTTTGGATGCTATTTTGCTCGAATAAACTCTGCAAAACAAACTGCAACTTGTTGTGTCTATTGTTGTGTATGGTCACGTGGCCAATTGCAATATCGTGTCGCCGGGGGAAAAGCCGCCCCGAAAAAGCGCAAACAAGCTGGTTGCACCCACAGATGGAAATCGTGTAAACCCCGGCCGCACATCACGATGAGGTTCGCCGTCCAAGTGTCCAGCCCGCTCGTCGCCATCGGGGCTTCGCAGTTTGCGTTGAGCCTGTTACAGGTAAAATTTTTGAGTTTTTGCTATTACTAGACGTAAAACTTACAAATTTTTGTGGAAGAATGCACAAAAAAAATCGATTTTTTGACAATAAAGGCAGTTTTTATTTCCGAAATGTCTTAATACATGTCAGGGGTGTTTCTAAATTGATTGTCACTATTCCTAAACGTAAAGTAGTTTTGTCTAGGTATTTTGAGGCAAGTTTAGGTTAAATTTGTAAAGCTTTTATTTTTTATTCGTAAAGCTACTCCTTATATGCATTAAGAAAAACTGCATTCCCCGAAAGTAGTTTACTTCCCCCCGATATTGCCAAAGTGCTCCGAAATGGCGAAAAAGAAAAAGAAATCGCGTTTCGAGGGCCTTCTTTAGTATTTTTGCGTTAGAAAGTTTAGGCGCAGAAAAAACACCCCCGATTTCCAGGTGGTTTTCATGTTCTTCTACGTGAAGGTCTACCTGAACGTGTTCCACGTCTCCCAGTGGTGGTTCAACGTCGCCCAGGCGCTGTTCATGGTCTGGAATGCCGTGAATGACCCCTTATTCGGGTATCTACAAGTAATTGAATTTTTAGAATTTTTACGCTATGTTTAGGACAGCAACACTGGGTGGATGCGCTCGCGGACGGCCGTTTTGACGCGGTTTTCCCCGTTTTTATGTGGATCATTCGTTCTTTTATGGTTAGTTTCTTAAAACCAATTATAATTTTTTTGTTTTAGGTTTCCCTGGGATATCAGCGGCTCGTGGCTTGAAGGGCTTCATCTCATCTGCGCCCTCTTTCTCTACGACGCGTTCTTTAGGTAGAAATTTTTGAGCTTCTAAAAAAATGGTAACCGTTTATCTTTTGCATTTTTTTAACCATAAAAACATTCTAAAATTTAGAATTTTCTTTTGAAAATGGGGCTTTTCGTTTAAAATTTCATGAAAAATGACCGTAAACAAGTAAAAATTGTTAAGAAAACGTGTTCTAGAAAAGTTATAGCAAAAGGTTTTTCGCAATTTCAGGGGGACTAATTTTTTTCCTACGAGTGCAGAATACTTAATGACGTAAATAGTAAAAAACGTAAAAATAGTGAAAAAAATTAAAACGTATTTAATTTTTAATTAAATATGTTATATTTTTTAGATATTTAGATGATGTTTTTAGTGAAATTTAAATATATTTGAATAGAATTTGGTCGAAAATCGGCGATTTTTTAGCGAAAAATCTATTTTTTTTGGAGTTTTTAGTCAAATTTTGTAACGTTGACGCTTAGGGATAATAAAAAATAGTTTAGAAACACTGTAGCATTATTTAGATTCGAACCGTTGGATCCTAAGAAAGAAATTAGTACCCCCCCCCGATAATGCAAAAGAACCAAGAAAAACCCTGCTCAATTACCTTGAATTTCTTTCAGCGCGATGGGCGTCTCGTGGGCAGCGCTGTTCGCCGACAGCACAAAAGACGCAAGATCCCGGGCTGCAGCCATGAAATATTCACAGGTTTTTTGGAAGTTTTAAAAAATTATTTTACTGATCTAGATGGCGATTCTCGGGTCGGTGAATGGGATCGCGATCATGGAGAAGGCCAGCCACAGCTTGGAGGTGTTTTGCCATAAAATTATTGTATTTTTTTTGTTTAGAACTTTTCCGCCTTTCAAACGGGCGCGATTCTGATGGCGCTGCTCGCACTGTTCTGCCTACTCAGCGCCGGAAGTTATCGGCCGACGCTGCCGATTTCTAGGTGAGAAATGTTGTATTTTTGCTTATTCGGTCCTCTAGTTGTAAAAAATGGGTGCTTTTGCAATATCGGGGGAAGACCGAATTTTTTCCTATGGGCCCAGAAATACCTAGTATACGTATTGTAATATTGTTTAGTTATATTTAGTTTTTATTTCAAAGCGAAAACAATAAAAAAATCGAAGATTTTTTGACATTTTGGTAAAAAAACGTTTTACATCTTTTTACTAAAAATTTTTATTTTTTTTGTACGTTTAGGAATAGTAAAAATTATATTTTAGAAAACTTCTTCTATTTCTATTCGAAAAACTGATTCCCCCCGATAATGCAAAAGAACCGAAAAATGTATTTTGTTGATTTAGGGGTATGAAAAGCTTTAATTTCGGTTTTTAGAGAAAAAGATGACGAGGAACGGCTTCTAAATGGAGATGACGTCGCAAGTTCCGAGCACGAAACCGGCACGTGGAGTCACGCCTTCGAGTTGACACGCCAAACTGTTCGCCAGCACGACTTCCTCTTCATCATCGCCACCAATTTTATACATATTATGAGGTAATTCGCATTTTTAATAGATTGTAACCTGTGTTTTTGAAATTAAGCTTTTTTTTGCTTCGTGAATATAATTAAATGCGACACGGTTATTTTTACTATTATTTGAAGTAATTTAATAGAGCCAATTTTTATCAGTCGGGAGATGCATAGCAATGTAACGTATTTTAATAGGTTTTTCGTGAAACTGAACCAGATTTAAGGCATAAACCTAATTAGAAACTTAAAAGGGGTTGAATTGCGAAACTTTGGTCGAAAATCAGTCACAGTTACGCGAAAAATCTACATTTTTGGGTTTGGATCCTATTTTGTAAAGTTTTACAGTGTAAATTTATAAAATTTAATTATATTTAAGCTTGAAAAATCTGAAAAAAATAGACATTTTTAGGCCGGATTTTTGGACGAAAAATTGATGTCTTTGTGTTTTTTTGGCAAAAATTTGTAATTTTTTTGCGTTTACGAATCGAAAAACAGGTTTGGAACCCTTTTTTCGTTTGATGTTAGAAAAATTTGATGCTAAGAAAAACACCCTGGAAATATCACAGAGCTATTTCTAACCCAAATTTTTTAGAAGTGTCGCCCACCTGAACTTTGCCTCGATCACGACGGAAATCCTCGTCCCTCAAGACATCTTGCCGCGCGGCAGCCTGAAGCTCAGCATTTTCTACGGCTTTTGCACTCTTGGACCGCAGGTCAGTCTCCCGCAGGACCGCAGACCGCAAGTTAAAAGCTAAATTTATCGTCTGATTCTTCAGCTGATCATCATCGCGCTCGAAAAGGTGGTCGTCAGGGTCGGCGCGGGGAGGCTGCTGCTTTTTAGGTATTTTCGTTTTTTTTTCAAACAATATCGTTTTCAGCTATCTCGTCTCCGCCATCGCTGCCATCTGTTTCTCATTCTTCTCCGGCTGGCCCTACATTGTCATGCTTTTTATGCTCATTGATGCGTAAGTTACATGATTTTTTTATTTATGAATTCAAAATTTTTTGATTAATTTGAGTTAATTCACTTTATTTTCTTACATTTTGTCTAATTTAATTTATTTCAATTAAAGTGATTTTGTATTTCTGTAAATATAAAATGATTTAATTCATTTTCAATCGGTTTTTTACAGAATCACCGTCCACTCGGCCGCCCCGTTGTTCAACATCATCATCTCGGACTACATTGACGAGGACACGAAGCGGTATTCTAGGCGGTGCGTAATTTTTTTTTATATTTCCCCCAAAAATCTCTGCTAGCCTGCCCTTTCTTAAAAAATCTCTGCTAGCCTGCCCGTTTCCTAAAGAATTTGTTCTAGAACGTCTTTTTAGAATATTTTAGTGTATCTGTTTCAGCTCGCCGATCTCGTCGTTCGTCTTCTCGCTGAACGCCCTCTTCACCAAGCCCGCCCAATCCGTCGCTCCGGTGCTGATCGTGCAGCTGCTCAACGCGTACGGATATCAGGTCAGGATCTCTCTCTGTGTCTATGTCTCTCTCTCTCTCTCTCTCTCTCTCTCTCGCTCTCGCTTTATCTTGCTCTTACTGCCTCTCTCCAGCTGCCTCTTGCTCTGAATCGAAACTTTTTAAAATTTATTGCTCTCTCTGTCTATGTCTCTCGCTCTCTCTCTCTCTCTCTCTCTCTCTCTCTCTCTCTCGCTCTCTATCTCTGAATAAACCATTTTTTTCAGGCCTACCTCGTCGACAAACTTTCAACTGAAGCCCTCCGCGCCGCCGTTCAATACGTTCTCTACGGCACGCCACTCGTCCTCGGTGCCCTCCAATATTGTGTCTTCTCCCGTTACTCTCTTTTGCACAAACCTTCCAAAGAACTTGTGATATAACCCCCCTCCCTCCCACTGCCTCTATTTCCCTTTTTTGTATTTAATAATACTGTCTATGGATACTCTTTTTGTCTCTGTATGCATCGTTTTTTGCGTGTGACTAACCTCATTCCCAGCGGCTCACCCTCCTGGTTGTTTTTTTTTGCGGGTTTTACTAATAAAAGCTTTGAAGTTCAAGTTGTTTATCGTTTTTCCCGACGCGTTGAATAGAGCCAAAAAGATACATTTACACGAAAATGGATTTAATGTTTTTATTTCACCATTTTTTCGGATTTTCAACGATTTTTTGGAAAATACGCTTTCCCCTTACGACTAAAATTATAATAACTGGTCGAAAACTGCATTTTCTAGCAAGTTTTCGGCTTAAAAGCTAGTTTTTTTCGCGTAGTTTTTGGTGCCGAGTTCGAATTTTACATTTTTATACTACAAAAGATTGACTTTAGACCATAAACTACAAAAAGTCGACGCCCCGGAATGTTTTTTGTGGCTATCTGTAGTTTGTACCCTAAAGTTAAGTTTTATAAAATAGTTTTTCAATTTTTTGTTTGCAAGAATCTTCATCATCATCAAAATATGGTTTTCGCTATGAGCGACGCCCAAATTGAGAATCAGCACCAAAAACCATGCTAGAAAGTGTATTCAGAAAGCAACTATCGTTGTTTTATGGCTAAAAACAAATTGAATATGTTTTGGAAAATGCGGCCTAGGTATTCGAAATAGAACTTTTTATTTATGGGTAATTAGAGGGTTTATATCTGTTTTCAGGTCAATGTTATCAACACTACACGCGGTGCACGAGATGAGGGCGTGGATCCCGTGCTCGTTGCTGTCGGTGTCCATGGTCAGCTTTTAAACGCTCCGATTTTTTATATTTAGGTCCCGTTTGCCACCCTATCCCTCGGCGTCGGCGCCATTTCGTGGGTGACGCCAAAGGACGTGTTTTTGGTAGGTATAAAGCTTCTTCTTTTAATGGAATTTGTTTAGACGCTCGACCACCACCTCTACGAAGCCTACATGCGGCTGTGTCTCTTCGTTTTCGAGAATTGGTCAAGTGTACAGGTATTTTAAGGTGTAGATTAGATGTTCCAGTTCTGTTTTTAGATTTCTCTCTACGGCGATGTCGAACCATTGAAGAGCGCACGAGAAAGAGCGGTGATAATGTCGAATCATCAGTCTAATGGTAGGCTTTATATCTTTTTTCGAAAGACCGAATTTTTGTAGCGAAATTTGTTTAACAATGTAGTAGAAAGCGTATTTATTAGGTTTAGAAAAAAAACTATCTACATTTCGAAGGTTAAACAATTTCACGAACTGGATTTTGAAATTGAAAAAGATTTTGGAACTTACTTTAGGCAAAAAAATCGTATTTCAGGGTATCCTGATGAGAAAGTGGTTAAAAAGATTTCATTAACTTTTTTTTCGGCTAGCTTTCAGGATTTCTGGGAAAACTACCTACATTGGAATATTTTTATTTTTTTTGCGACAAATCGGTAGTTTTAAGACCAAAAATCTATATATTTTCTTTTTGGCTAGAAACTAACGGTTTTTATGTAGTTTTTTTTTTGCAAATACTAAGAGATGTTATAGGTTTTGGAATTTCGGAAATTCGAAATTTTTTACCTAAAGTTGGCCGAAATCGGTCGTTTTTCTCTTTTTTGAAAACGTAATTTTTACTTTGTGTAAGTTTAGTTTAAATTTTTAATTTTTTAACGCTAAAAAAGCAAGTTTTGAAAACAAAGTTTAAACGTGGAAAAGATTTTTCACTTAATAAACGTGCTATTTTAGTCGACTGGGCGGTGATCATGGGCCTGGCTGCACGGCAGAAGGCCAACGAGCGCGGCTTCCGCGTCATGGTCAAGCACGCCATCCACTATGTGCCCCTGTTTGGGTGGTACATCTTTCAAGTAACGTTTTTAAAAACAAGCAATTTTTCGTGTTTTTTAGCATGGCTACATCTACGTGCGTCGATTCGGGGAGTTTGTCAGCACGCCTGTGCGCAGGCAGCTGCATTTTTTGGATGGTTTACCGGAGCCCTATTGGCTGCTCATTTTCCCGGAAGGCACGAGGTGAGGGTTTAAAGGGGCTGAGACAGGCGAGGATCGACCCCTAGTACTGGCTAGATCTCGACAGAAAAGTGACACTCCTAGAAACGCATTTTTTCTTTTATTTTGACCTTTTATCTCCATGGAGAATCCAAAGAAACCACGTATTTTGGAACGTCTCGTAGCTGGCTGGACCTAGTAGATCCATGGGATCGATTTGGCATTTCCTGGTGCCTTTAAAGGGGCAATAAAGTCATAATTGATTATGTAATTTTGTTACCCATGGATTCTCTATAGATTTTGTCTTCTTTCGAGTCTTAATTTTCTTAATTTTATATTTTAATTTCTCAATCTTTCATTAAAAATTTTGTTCTATTAAGCCGCTAAAATATCTGCTTATGTTTCCTAACCCTAAAAATTCCCTCTAGCTCTTTAAAACCTTTCATTTTTTTATTTCTTTTCATATTTTGTTCTTAACACATCACATTTCTTAACATAGAAACTATTTTAACTTTTAATTAATGTAATTTTTAAATTTAAGAAACCACCTTTTTCAGATTCACAGCCAGAAAGCCGAAGCTGATCGAGGCGAGCCAGCAATTCTGCGAGAAAGAGGTACAAATTTTTTTTTTAATTGGCAAAAAAATTCAACCCTAGGGAATGCCAAAACTCTCTCACGTACTAGCGCCTCGCGTCGGCGGACTGCACCTCGCCCGGGAGCACCTGAAAAGCCTGGACGCCGTCTACGATGTTACGATAGGATATGGGCAAACCAGGTGAATTTTATAGCGAATTTTTGTTTTTTTGTTCTTTTAAAGTTTTGAATAACAGAATGAATTTTCCAGGCTTCCCGGTCGTGCCGGAATCGCTCCCGGAATGTTTGAGTACGTTTGCGGAGCCAAGGCGCGTCGTCTATGTGTCCATATTAAAAGGTATGTGGGCTAAGCTTTTGGTGTGTTTCCGTCAAAATGCCGACATTTCATAATGTCGAAATTTGTAAGGTCAAGATTTTATAATGTCGAAGTTCAGGATGTTTGAATTTACATAAGATAATTTTCCCGGAAAAACCCCCGATTTCTACGCAAAAAAATTTGGACATTCTGAATTTCGACATTATGCTATTTAGGTATTATGAAATTTCGATATTATGAAATTTCGACATTCTGTTTATCGACATTATGAATTTCCAAAAATATGAGATTTCGACATTATGAAATTTCAACAGGTGAAATTTCGACGTTATGAAATTTCGACATTATGAATTTCGACATAATGCTAGCAAATCGTTTTTAATAATTGACGTTTTTCTAGATTTCCGGTCTCCGAGGTGCCCACCGACAAGCAGGCATTGAAGGCGTGGCTTTATCAACGATACCAAGAGAAAGACAGGTCAGCCTTTTTTTGCTGGCTACGATTTTCATGAATTTTTAGGTTACTGACGCAATTCCAAGAAACGGGCGAATTCCCGGATGTCGTTTCTGCCGACGAGCCCACCCTCTCCATAGCTAAAACGCTGCCCTCGACGATATTCTTTGTGGCGGCGCTGGCGGCCCCGTTCTTTTCGACAAAGGTTGGTTTTGAAGAAAAATACCGACAAGTCGAAATGCCGTCAAACGAAAAGCGGCCATGCAAAATGCCGATAGCAAAAATACCGACAAAAATTTTGCCAATCTAAAATGCCGATAAGCCATAGGGCTATTGACCATAATGCCGCCTCGAAACTGCTTAGAATCAAATGTTCTTTTCCTGTAATGTGGCCTTTTTGGTGTCGGTATTTCGGCTGGCGGCATTTTGGATGTCGGCATTTTGTCTGTCTTGGTTTTGATATGGCAATTTCGAAAATCGACATTTGCGCTGTATGTAGTTGAATGTCGGCGTTTTTCGCCCCATTTTTCGTTTGTCGGCGTTTTGAATGCCAGCTTATCAGGTTTCGATTTTTCGTTTGTCGACATTTTGTCGATTCATCCATTTTTAGTAGAATTTTAATTTTTTAGGTCCGTACCACGTACCTGTGCACAATGGCCTCGTTCCCGTTGCTGATCGGATGGCTACACCTGCGGAAATGTGTCTAAAATGGTAGATTTTCTTTGTTTGATTAGTGCCTAGCCCGATAGGAATTAAGTATCTCACTCTTTTTGTTGAATTTTCATTGGTTTATTGATATCGATTGTGATATTGGGATCCTATTGTTGATGCTTCATTTAACGTGCCTTTGCCATCACCAATTTGCTCAACGTGCATTACGGATAAATGGGTTTCTTGCTTTTTTATGGCCTTTTTTGCTCCGGGCGGCCTTCCTTCTGGTTTCCTTCGACGGCTAGAGTTTCGGGTTCATATTTTTCTATTTAAAGGAAATGGTTGAAACCGGCGGCGACGACTTCGACAAGGGCGGCTTCATCTACTGCTGGCCGGACAACTTCAAGACGTCGCGCCGGAAGTAGGAGAATTCTCGAAAGTCGGTCCGTTTTTGTTTATTTTTAAAAACTTAGGGGAATGATTTTGGCTTTTTTTAATATTACGCTTTATGTGGATTAACTAAATCATCGAATTGTCAGAAAATTGAACAAATTTTTTGTTCTAGAAAATGTAGGAATTATTTGGTTGTAGTTTTTAACGTTATTAAGCCGTTTTAGAGAATTGATTAGAGTTTGCGTACTTGCTGAAGTCGTTGAATCGTAGTTTCGAAGCTGTTGTTGGAATAGAACCCGAAATTTATCGTTTTTTGAGAACAAAATTGGAGGATTTTAGTTTAGAAATAGCTTATCAAAATGGCCACAAAATAGGCGAGGGGCAACAGGAAAAAGAAGGGCTTTTGGGCTGCGTTATCTTCATCGTGGGGTTTTCGTGTGGTGGAGGCGACGATCGGCTCGTCGGTGAGCACGGCGAAACGGGCGAGGAAGCCGGTTTTTGTGTCGGCCGACGGGCGCCAGTACAGCTAAATAGTGACATCGATTTTTGTTTTATAGTCAGGTGTTGAAGCTGATTTCTTGATTTTTTAATTTTCGTTAGCTTTTATAACTCTAATTTAAACGTAAAATTCGATTTTTTAACTAAATAACTTTTTAAAATTTTTTTGTTTGTGATTTTATGCCTTTAATCCCTAAAATTTAGTTTTTAGTTTTCGATGGTTTTTATTGCTTACCTTGATCTGCTTGCCCAGCCCTCCAATATCCGTCCGGTTGGCCTGCTTGGTGATGCTGAAAATGGGGGTTTCAGACTCGATTCTCTAGTTTAACTTTTGCGAACTACAAAATATAATTTTTACTTTTCTGCTTTGCAGTTTTGTGAAATTAGCAATTTTTGAACGGATTTACTCATAATTTCTGCGTTTGAAAACTTACTTCATCTCAATGGCACCGGCGTATAACTCTAGCGATCCGCTGCTGCCCGGGTCAACCGATTCAAAGTCAAACCCGACGAAGGCTTCTTCTAAATGGGGAAAATTACTTGGGAAATTGGGAAATTAGGTTTATTTTCGACCGGAAGTGGTTTTTGTAGTTTTTCTCTCTCCCTCTCTCTCTCCCTCTCTCGCTCTCTCTCCCTCTCTCTCCCACTCTCTCGCTCTCTCACCTTTCCAGCTCGACTCTATCGTCAGATTCCGGTGGCCAACATTTGCCGGTGTTGCCGCGAAATTCCCGGGGTATTCGTGGCTCATCACCCAGCCCCAGGCTTGGGGTACCGGCTTTGGGGCGACGACGTCGGCTTCTGGATTTGAAGTCATTGATTACTCGTAGAAGTTCATTTGGTCATTATAGAGATGGTTTTAAGGGTGTCCGAGTTGCCTACCTTTCTAAGAGCATTTTTTACTGGTTTTTCGACATAATTTAATTGCTTTAGCGTTTGCAAAATTGATTGCTTCGGCTTACCAGTAGTAGGCTTCACGATAAGCGTAGCATTGCATCCGGCTGGCACCAAAAACGTGGCCGCCGGGCTACGGACGTAGCTTGTAATGTAGCCGATCAGCGTCGTGGAGCTGTAAATTGTTTTAGTTTCTTCAGTCAACTTGCATTTTAGAACTTTTAGATTTATAGATAGGTTAAAAGCTATATGTATTTGCATTTTGGAAAGCTTCTCACTTAAAATGCATGAGCCTGTATTTCTCCTTGCCGTCGTCGCTGCCGGGGATTCCGGAGAGGTAGAGCTCGACCGTGCAGTTTGAGGACTAAATTTATTTTAATGAAACCTACGATTTTTTTTCTTAATAGTAACGTAACTTGAAAACGAAAAATCATTTTTTATGCCCATTTTTGAGGTTTTGGACTTACCACATCCTTGACGTCCACCGAAAATATCGGCTCGTCGTCGTCGCAGAAAAAGGTGTGCGCTTGGGGGTTGGGACTTGCTAAAAAAAGCATTTAATTTTTGTGTCTCTGTTTCTCTACGCTCTCTAGGTTAACGTATTCGCCAGTGTGAATTTTTTTGGGTCGTGGCTGCTTAGCCTTGAGAATTTTAACGATACCTTGCACGACATTCGTCTCCCCTTTATCGTCAAGCCGGCTCAGCTGGTGGGTGAAATCGAACTTGGCTGTGTTTTCTATAAGATTTAGATGTTTTTATAGATTTTGACTTTTTGGTTTGTCATAGCGTTTTATCGCGTAGATACTTGAAGCCGTAAAAAGGAGGTCACAGATTGTTCATGTAGATTTGCGAAATCCATCCTACTCGTTTCAGCTAAGAAACCTCAAAACCTACTCGATTTCTCTGTGGTTCGTGTAAAGGAAAGGACGTAGTTCGAGTAGTAATTTTTCTGCAAATCCACCGTAACCTTTGGGCCAAAGAACCGGGGCGCCGTGAAGTTTTTCGAGCTAGAATTTTCTATTTTTTTATGGATTCGTTGCAGCTTAGGTATACTGTAGAGCAGTAAATATAATTTTTCTGGTTTTTTAACAGGATCTTTTCGGTTTTATATTATTATTGTAGCTGTGAAAAAGTGTTGGTTAAAATGCGTGTGTACTACCGTAGCTGCATAAGCATAATTTTTACGGTTGTGAACAGAATCGCTGGGTATTTTCCGTACGGTAAATAGGTTAAAAGATTTCATTAATTAAATTAGTTGAACTAAAAACGTACTCGACCGTATCCGTCCCGTCACTGATCGTGAACGTCGTGGCGGTGATGGCATCAACAAATAGTTGGACGTAGATTAGGCAGTCCACGCAATCACTATCCACTACTAACTGTAGAAATTGGTTTTTAACGGGATGGGGACACTTCTGACTCACCACCGTCTTCCCCACCGTATCCCCGAACGCTATGTAGGAACCGTCAATAGCTGTCAGCGTAGCGTTTTGAGCGCTTATGGAGTGGAGTACTGTAATTTAGACATGTATTAGCAGAGAAAAAAAAAAAATAGCAGAAGCGTTTTCGAGCTCTCTAGACTTCTTTTTGGACTCACTGGTATCTTTAATTTACGGCTGAAAGCCGGAATTTTTGTTTTTAAGTTTTGTTAGGCGGGATTACGGTATCACGATAAGGTTATGGCATTCTTGAACTTTTTCAAGCTTTCAAGCCACTTTTACCGTACTTCTTGAAGATTCCTGGCTTACCGTCGCCTTTAGTTTTGATTTAAAATTTACTTTGCAGCGCGTAAAATCGTGAAAACTTCCTTTTGGTTTCCTGTTTTCAAAAACCTAATCTTTTGAAAAGAAATGCTAATTTTGACACATTTTTTTCAATAATTTGAAATACAAATAATTTAAAAAAATAGGTATGAGAAAATCCCATCTTTTTGAACATTTTTTTGGGGTGTCCAGGACCCTTTAATTCGCTAAATAGGCTAAAATGCCTAACATTTTCTGCGCTTCTTGGCGCGCTGCCAACCCGTATTACTGTGCCAAATTGGGTATTTTGTACTGTGCCATTTTGTACCCGTATGTAGCATAAGGGTATTTTGTATTGGTTTCCAAAGTGTATACTTCAAAGCGAACGTGAAACTAAGCTTTCTGATGCCTTTAAACTAGGCTTACTCGACTTGGTTTATTTCGTTTTAAAGCTTGCATCGGCTTACCAATTAGAAAAAGCAGAATTCAACTAATCTTCGAAAAAATGCTATTTTTTACAGCCAATTCAAAAATCTCGAATCAGAAATCGAAATGTCGCATTTTCGAGGGTTTTTTTCATTTCCCAAGTGTAGATTTGGAAGCGAGCACGATCTTAGACTTTCTATTGCCTCTAAAGCTGGCTTTATCGACTTACTAGGGATGCCTTCCAACTTACCATCGAGTTTCGACTTGAAAATTGGTGAGCTTATAGAGTTTGAGCTTGCGATTCCGATGCGCTAAAAATTTTAACAAATCGTCCATAGGCGGCTGAGATATAACAAGTTTAATTTTGGCAAAAATGCATGATTTTTGCGCGTGTCGTCCCCGCCGCCCCTGAACGGGGCGTGCGGTGAAGAGGCCTCTCTGGCACCCCTCCGGCATGGCAGCGTGGCCTCGAGGTAGAGCTCTCGGTTCACAAACTTTTGGTCGGGGGTTCAATTCCGGCCACCAACTTTTTTTTGAAAAAACCTTTTAAAGCTTTTTGCCAAATTTTTTACCTGCATTATTATTTTGTATTCTCTGGCGGAATCAAAAGATAGCGGGCTGTGAAGATTCTCGAATCTGATAAAATGATATAGTTTCATAGATCTCTGTTCATAGAAATGCTCCAGAGCTTTTCCTGTGTTTCTTCATCCTTCTCTACAGCATCGTAAAACAATCGCAAAAAGCTTGGCAAAAAGCTTTAAAAAGTTTTTTCAAAAAAAGTTGGTGGCCGGAATTGAACCCCCGACCAAAAGTTTTTGAAGCGAGAGCTCTACCTCGAGGCCACGCTGCCATGCCGGAGGGGTGCCAGACGGGCCTCTTCTCCGCACGCCCGTCCAGGGGCGGCGGGGACGGCACGCGCAAAAATCATGCATTTTTGCCAAAATTAAACTTGTTATATCTCAGCCGCCTATGGACGATTTGTTAAAATTTCTAGCGCATCGGAATCGCAAGCTCAAACTCTATAAGCTCACCAATTTTCAAGTCGAAACTCGATGGTAAGTTGGAAGGCATCCCTAGTTAGGTGACTTCGTTTCAAAGCTTGCCGACTCGACTTACCAACTAAAAAAAAGAAGAATTGTGATATTCTCTTAGAAAATTGCATTTTTGCAGACGAGTTTTAGAATCAGAAACCAGATATTCTAAGCTTTATAGTGCCTTTAAAGCAGGCTTTATCGGCTTAGGTGACTTCGTTTTAAAGCTTGCCGACTCGACTTACCAACTATAAAAAAGAAGAATTGTGATATTCTCTTAGAAAATTGCATTTTTGCAGACGAGTTTTAGAATCAGAAACCAGATATTCTAAGCTTTATAGTGCCTTTAAAGCAGGCTTTATCGGCTTAGGTGACTTCGTTTTAAAGCTTGCCGACTCGACTTACCAACTAAAAAAAAGAAGAATTGTGATATTCTCTTAGAAAATTGCATTTTTGCAGACGAGTTTTAGAATCAGAAACCAGATATTCTAAGCTTTATAGTGCCTTTAAAGCAGGCTTTATCGGCTTAGGTGACTTCGTTTTAAAGCTTGCCGACTCGACTTACCAATTATAAAAAAAGAAGAATTGTGATATTCTCTTAGAAAATTGCATTTTTGCAGACGAGTTTTAGAATCAGAAACCAGATATTCTAAGCTTTATAGTGCCTTTAAAGCAGGCTTTATCGGCTTAGGTGACTTCGTTTTAAAGCTTGCCGACACGACTTACCAATTAGAAAAGAGCAGAATTGTAGTATTCTTCTAAACAATTCCATTTTTTTTGCAGTTTTAGTTTAAAATCAGAAATCGAAATATCGGGGGACCTTGTTGAACTGGCTGAACTGGTTGAAGCCGAGTGATAGATTTCGGCTTTTCCTCTGCCAGGGCCCTCCCCCCTTTTTGGTGAAATATTTGCGTGAATCTTTTGTATTCGATGCCCTCCTCCCGCTCCTTTCAATTCAACCCGATATTTTATGGGCTTTTCCGAGGGTTGTGGCTTACATGTTTGTTCGTACTGAGTCATCCAACGGACTCGCAAAAGGGGCGAGGGTTACGGTACATTCACGATTTATTGACGTCCTCCCCGCGCTGCAGCCATAAGTTTTTCTACCAGATACCGGTCATGACGAATGCGCAATTTGTCATCGGGGAATTTGTGATCTTGAACTGGTTGTTGAAAAGCGGGGTACTTGCGCTTTATCGGGGGGCGGGGAATAGATTTTTTATCTAACCTTGAAACGCCTAGTAACTTAATAACAAGTAGTTCATAATTTTTTCAGTAAAATAAAAAAGTTATTACTAGCAAAATCATCCAAAAACTTTGGCTTTTTTCAAAAGGTGGAAATTTTGTTCAAAAACGGTCATTTTTGGTCGAAAAATCGATAATCAAAAAAAGTTAATCGATATCTATTTTTTGATATTTTAGTTGTAGCTAAGGAGAACAAAAACTGGATTTCCCCCATGCCAAGCCCCCCCCCCGCTAACAACCCAGTACCCGTTTTTCTTGGATGCAATTTGTTTGAAACGGAAATAGCGGGAGTGTTTCTAAACTCTTTTTGACTATTGCTGAACGTAGAAACCTTACAAATTTTTATTTAACAGATATCAAAAGGATATAGATTTTTTGACCAAAATTGGCGATTTTTTTAGCAAAATCTCAACTTAGAATTTTAAAAGTTTTTAAATAGTTTTTCTAGTTGAAAATCGTTTTATTTTATTAAAAACAACTAATTGCTATTAAGTTACTAGGCCTTTCTAGACTTATACAAAAATCTCCCTCCCCCCGATAACGCGAAAGAACCTAACTTTTTTTGGCGTAAAAATCCCGGAAATGAATCTTTTGACTTCGCCATCGTTAAAGATCTCTTAAAAGCTTCCGCTGACCCCATATCGTAAGTTCCAAGCACCGACATAGTTTGTGTCTACGCGCATGCAAAAACACGCTCAGCGCTCCTTATCACCCCGATTTTAGATGCGGGGTAGCTGTGGTTGACCAAGACACCCAGCTGTCTGCCTCGGGGTCAAGCGCGATTTGAAGTATTTTTTCTCTTATATATATTCTCTATTAAGCCCCATTAAATATGCTAATTTTCTTTATTCTCTTAACATGTTTACCGCGTCTTTGTGCCCTAAATATTCTCGTCTACTCCCCGCGCTATGCCCCGTCACATACGAATTTTGTCGGTCGAGTTGCCGATATTTTGGCTGAGGCTGGCCATCAAGTGGTAAAGCATCAAGTTAATGGATTTGCTATCATAATGTCGAAATTTTGAAAATGTCGAAAATAATAATGTCGAAATTTCAAAAAGCCGAAATTTCAAAATTTCATGATGTCGATATATCGAATTTTTGCATAGCACTTGGATTTTTCTCTGCGAGATTTGCTTATGTAAATTTCGACTTTCTGAAACGCCCGCATTCTGACATTTCTACAATATCAAACTTCTACACTATCAGTCTCGACATTATGATTTTCGACATTGAGAATTTCGACATTTTTTAGTAACCCGGTCTAACGCATTTAATGTTTATTGGTCTTAAATTTGGATTTGAAAATTCAAAGTGAAATTGTTATAAAGATTTAATGGGCTATTATTCAGTTTTTTTGGGTTGTAGTTTAAAATACATGCCTTTAAATACATCGTTGGAAGCACATTAAAACTATATATTTCAATGGATATGATTTTAAAATAACAGAAACCGTTCGCGTGATTAAATTTAAAAGTAACTTTATTTACTTTATTATTATTCGTATTAAAATGTCGCAACTATTTAATTGGTAAGAGAGATGCGACTTCCATGGATTTTACAGATTTTACAATTTTCAATTTGGGCGCAAAATTGACGCCTGACAATTACGGTAAGGGCGTAATTTTACTGAGTTAGTTTTTGATACAATGGAGGTTATATTTAAAACTTGTAGCTTTTAATAAGTTTACAATACTTTAAAAACAAACTTACCTGCCTTACAAGCCAGTAAAAATCTACCTAATTTTCTATCACTGCGATTCCAGGTGGTGCTCCAGCCGGTCCTCATCGCGCAACAGACGGGCACCGGGACCGCTTTAGCCAAGGTGCGTGCATTTTATCGGGGGTTTTACGTAAAATGGGTCTAGGGATCTCTGCTAGCCTGCCCAGATTTATTCATACATTCAAGATTAATAATTTCTGCCTTCTAATATGTATTATGGACGTGAATTTCGACGAATTCTCTCATCATTTTAAAATCTTTTTAAACGTTTTAAAAAGTATAGCGCATTGCCTTCTTTCTAGCTATAATTTTATTTATCCTTGCCACACAGTTTCTGTCTTCGAAAATGCGCAGTGTGCTAAATTTTCGAAATTCCAAGCTTTATTTCAACAAACTAAACTTTATTCTTGAGTTTTTGGTAGCAACAGCTTGTCGAGTTTTTCCTTCGTCTCGTGCAGTCTATCGTTCAGTGAGCGCACCAGCGGGATGTAGTCTTCACAGTACTCCTCAAAGTTCTTTGCCGCCGCTCGCATCTCTTCCCGCACCTTGTGGCCATCTAAAAAGTGGATTGTTTGAGTTATTGGCCGCACCCGCTACACGCGACTCTTCGAAAAATTTATTATATTTTTAGGTTTTTTTGTAAAAAATTTAGGTTTTGTAGTTTTTAAAAAATTTTAACTTTTGAGCAAATGTATAACGGGACGTGTTAGACATGTCTATGGATTTCCTCTTTATTTTTCCGCTCCCCGCCCACGAAGCCCGTCAAGCAAAACGAATTTTTGGGGTTTGACGAAGTTCTCTTCGTTAATAAAGTTTTGCCGCGTAATTGTCACTGACCTATTAGAGTACGTTGCTGCTCAATCACACCGTACGCCGCCTCCTTGGCCGCCAATAACGCATTAACGGCATCCCGCGTACAGTCGTGTAGTCCAGTGATATTCCCCGCCAGTCCTTCGTAGAGGTGTTTCTGCTCGACGCCAATCTCGGCGCGTAGTCCCTCTAATTCCACGATCGTCAACTTGACGGTCTTGTGTGTTTTGTGGTCCGATAGTCCGCACGCGCCGCAGATAGTTTTCTGGAACTTTCGTAGAGTTACTGTAAATTTATTAATACTGTTTGCTAGACCTGAATTTTCATATGAATAGTTCAGATACGTTTTAGGTAATTAAATTCGTAATTTTTTACGTTTCAGAAAGAAATTAACGTAATAGTGAAGTCACTTCTTTGAGGATCGCATAATTAATTTGGCGTAAATTTTTAACTCGGATTTGGAGTGCGACAATCGATTGATCCTACCGTTCCGCAATCATAGCAGCAGAAGAACTGTCGAATGTCATATGGAATCCGCACTCCTCGCATTTTCTCGTCAAACTGATCCGATTTCCTAATTCTGCTCCCTCGGCTTCACTTTTCAAAGTTTTTTCGTTGGACGCCGGGCTGTTCCAGGCACCAGCCGGGCCTCGAAGCAACACATTTGCTATTGCCAAATCGGAAATGCTGCCCCGCTTCGGATTGAAGCATTTGGCATGCTCCAAACGCTTCAGGTTCTGCTTGAAATCCTCGTTCGAGTCCCCTGAAATGAGCGTTTTACTGCATATTATATTGTGCAATTTGCCTTGATGGAAGTGCGGTGGCTCGGCGGTACTTTTCGAAGCGCCGATTCCATCTGGGGTCACCATGATCTCGAGGAGCTTGGCTTCGACTCGAGCTGCCTTCTCATCGGCGGCCATCTGGTCGTCCAGCCGTTTCTGGGCATCAGCCAGCAGCTCTTGAGCCTTGGCTTGAAGCTCGTTGGCAGCCTGAAGCTGGGGCTCGACTCCAGGGGTGGAGGCAGCTTGATTGTTGACTTGTGCGAGGGCTGGTAGCACCTCGTTCTCCAGCTTGGCCACCACTTCCTTGAGCGCATCGGTGGTTGGTGCGACGGCTTGTTCCTTGCCCTTCTTGCCCTTCTTCGTGGGATGGGCGAGCTTGTCGGCTTCGTTGAGATTCTTGCGAATGTCGTCAAGAGCGGCTCCAAGTTGAGCCACATCGGCGTCGTGCTTGTCCTTTCGGGCCTTCAGCTCTGCAATCTTGTCGAGCTGTGCCTGGACTTGTGGCGGCACTTGGTCGGCTCCAGCAGGCTTCAGAGACTCGAGCTGCTTCTCGATAGCGTCCAGTTGTTCAACAGACACATTGTCGAGTGGGAGCTGTTCGACTTGCTCCAGCTGCAGGTTGAGAACCAGCAGCAATCGCTCGTTGTCAGCCTCGTTGGCATTCTGCTTGGCCTTATCGAGGGCCGCTTCGACGGCATTCAACTTCTCCTCGAGGGGATAAACGGGGGACTCGGCGAGGACACGGTGGCGTGTGTCGTTAGCTTTGGCCATCTTGTCCTTCAGCAAGTCAAGCTGAGCCTTCAGTGCCGGAATTTCATGTTCGGCAATGGCGGTCCAGCTGTCGACATCGTTGATTTGCGGGATATCAGCAAGGAGACGGTGCAGTTCTTCGGCCAATTTCTTGGCGGAATCGACGCCCACCAGTTCATCCTCGATCTCGGCTAGATCGGCCATGTAGTTGTCGATGTGGGCGACCTTCTGATCGATGTCAGCATCCAAGAATCGCGCATCGGCGTACGCACTCTCGAGTGGGTCGAGCAGCTCGGATAGTCGGTGCAGTTCTCGGGCGGCTTCCTTTAGCCGTTCCACGTCTTGACCCTTCAAACGTTTTGCTTCTTCCAGATCGGCCTTGGCGGCAGCGAGATGTTCGGGCTGCTTGGCTTGGAGGGCATCAAGCTGGGCTCCAATGTTCTCGAGAAGCTGATCGGCATTGTCGAGAGCAGCCACAAATTCATTCCAGTAAGTGGTTCGGTCGTCGAGTACTGGGAGAAGAGCTTCGACCGCATCGATGGTTGTTGCCAGCGAGGCGGTATGCTCATCTTGGTCTCGGGCGCTGGCGAGCAGCTTACGAGCAATGGAAAGTTGTTCACGCATTTCGCCGGCCGTCGGTTCGTAGCTGCTTGGAAGGGCTTCTGGGTCGCGTACGAGGCGGTTAGCTTCGTCAACGAGTTCGGCCAGACGACTTCCGGCTCCATCAGCCTTCTTGTGCAAATCCTCGAGGGCATCGGCACGGTCTTGGAGCGCGATGTTGGCCGTGTTGATGGCTTCGGTGGCCTTTTCGAAACGCTCGAGGGTGGCAACGGCCAGCTTCTGGCCTTCAGGCGTTTCCGCCTCTCCGAGTGCCTTGATCTTCTCGTAGTCGTTGTTGAGGGCATCCAGCAGAGGGCGGCCTTGTTCGAGTTGGTCGGCTGCCTTGCGGAGCTCATCAACAGAAGCATTCGGGTTTCCTTCGACTTCGTGAGCACGGGCAAGCACTTGATCGATGGCCTGAGCTTGAGCGACCACATCGTTTGCAAGAGCCAGAAGCTCAAGCTTCGCCTGCACGTTCTTCTCCTCATCGTTGAGCAGATTGTCAACGTTGCGGAGTCGATCAGTCAGCCTATCGGCATCAACACTTTCTGGTTGTCCGGTGAGGCGAGGTGGCTTCTCGGCTTGCATCCTCTTCAATTCGGCAACGCGAGCGATGAGTGGCTCGAGTTCGCTCTTCAGAGCATTCAGCGCAGCCGGATCAGACAGATCTCCTGTCTGACGGGCTGCCATCGCCCGGTTCTCAATATCGGCGACAAGGGGCAGCAGTTGATCATAGTTAGCTCGAATGGCATCGCCAGCTTGCACTTCCGTGGCCAATTCGTCGATGAGGCTGTTCAGGTTCTCTTGTTTCCACTTGAGATCATCCAGCTGGGCGTCAAGATCGGCTTCGCGAGATGGCAGATTGTCGTGCAGCCATTCCTTGGTGGCAACCACAGCTCGTGCCAAATCAGCCAGCTGTGCCTTCACCTCGTCGGCGCGGCTCAAGTCGTCCTTTCCGACGAGGAATGGCTGAGGGGCCTGGTTGGCATACTTGTCAAAGATGGTATTCAGTGCCACTTCAACAGGCTCGGCAGCCGAGTTGAGCTTCTGCTTCTCCTGGCCGTACTTGGTGAGATTGGCCAGTTTGTCGAGCAGCGCATCCTTCAATCGGCGCAACTTGTCCAGGTAGTTCTCGGTGTCGGCCTTGGTCTTCTCGAGCTCCTTGCGTTGCTCGGGGCTGAGGTCGTCGCTGGCGAGAAGTTGGTTGATCTCGAGCAGCTTCGCCTCCAGCTGACCAATATCCAATTCGGCAGCCTGTTCGCGCTTCTGCAGTTCGTCTTGGTCGTCCGCCGGCGGCTCGTCGGCGCGTTGCAAAGCGGCCATGGTATCTGTGGTCATCTTGAGCACGAGGAGCTGCATGGAGTGTGAGGAAGAGGAGGAGGAGCTATTCCAATAAATAAATGGGAAGGAGAATGATTTTGAAAATGAAGCTTAGCGAGCGGAGCCAATCGACTCTCGGCGGTTTTCTTGTGACAGAGAATGGCACACGGGGGAGATACGTATTCCTAGAATCAATCGATTCAAAAATCTTTGCCCGGCACAAGGACCGGTAGTAAGTAAAAGCCTTGGAATTCCATACACTATTTTGCTAAGTAAAACTTTATTCTTGAGTTTTTGGTAGCAACAGCTTATCGAGCTGTTCCTTCGTCTCGTGTAGTCTATCGTTTAGTGAGCGTACTAGTGGGATGTAGTCTTCACAGTACTCCTCAAAATACTTTGCCGCCGCTCGCATCTCTTCCCGCACCTTGTGGCCATCTAAAAAGTGGATTGTTTGAGTTATTGGCCGCACCCGCTACACGCGACTCCTCGAAAAATTTATTATATTTTTTAGGTTTTTGTAAAAAATTTAGGTTTTGTAGTTTTTCGAAAATTTTAACTTTTGAGAAAATGTTTAAAGCTACGTGTTAAGCATTGTCTATGGATTCGTTCTTGATTTTGCCGCGCCCGGGCCACGAAACCCGTCACGGAAACCGATTTTTTAGGTTTTAGATAGTTCTCTTCTTTAATAAAGTTTCGCCGCTTAATTTCCGCTGACCTATTAAAGTAGTTTGCTGCTCAATCGCTGCATATGCTGCATCCTTCACCGCCAATAACGCATTAACGGCTTCCCGCGTACAGTCGTGTAGTCCAGTGATATTCCCGGCCAACCCTTCGTAGAGGTTTTTCTGCTCGATGCCAATCTCGGTGCGTAGCCCCTTCAATTCTACCGTGATCAACTGGACGAAGTCGTGGTTTTTGTGGTTCAAAAGTCCGCATTTGCCACAGATCGTTTTCTGGAAAATTGTGTAGTTACTGTAAATTTAGTATTGGACGGGCTTTCTAGACGTTACGGTTCTTTCGCATTATCGGGGGACAATTTTTTTGTATTAATCTAGAAATGCCGAGTAACTTACTAGGAAGTATTTTCCTAATGGTTTTAGTGTAATAAAACTATATTTTAACCAGAAAAACCTCGAAATTTTTTCAAAAAGTCGAAATTTGCGTCAAAATAACCAATTTTTCGTGGAAAAATCTATATTTTTTGCATTTTAATAAAATTTTGTTAAGTGTTCGCGTTTAGGAATATTATAGAAACAGTTTAAAAACACTTCAGCTATTTGTATTTTTGAAAAAAATACTTTTTCAAAAATGGTTCCTTAAAAAATGTCTGCTCCCCCGATAATGCGAAAGAACCGAATTTTGACTTATCAGCCCCTTTAAACCGGTAGGAAACTATAACTTTCTAATTTCTTGATCTCCTACCTTTTCGCAATCGTTGCAGCAGAAAAACTGTTCAATGTCATTTTCGAATTGGCATTCCTCACATTGCTTCGTAAGGCTGATGGGATTTTCCAAGGTAGCTTGCTCGGCTGCACTTTTCGAAGCTTTTTCTTTTGTCGTTTTACTTTTTCGGGCTTCAGAAGAGCTGCTAATCAACAGACTTCCTCGCGCCAAATCGGAAATGCTGCCCCGTCTCGAATTTAGGCGTTTGACAAGCTCGAGATATTCCAAGTTTCGTGCGAATCTCTCGCTTGGCTCTCCTGAAGTCACGCTTTTAGTGGATTTGTTCGGTGCGTGCCTTTCCCTAAGAATCCCTGCTAGTCTGTCCGTTTCTTCAAGAATCTCTGCTAACCTGCCCATTTCCTAAAAAATGCCTGCTAGCCTGTCCTTTTGTAAGTGTTTCTGCTAGCCTGCCCTCTCTACAATAACAAAAACGACAGCTTGCTCACGTTTCAAAATGTTCATAACTTTTTTAATCGCACACCAGGGTTGAAAAACCGCTTCGCGGCTTTTCAACCCTGGCCCCGTCCCGATCCCCAAACGGTCTCCACTTTGGATAGTTCTGGCCAAACCCGCTTGGCAAAAAATGAAAACGATCTCCTTTGCTGGCTTATATAGGCGTCAACCGCTTCCGGCGAATGCAAATTCTTGTTTAACAAAGTTGTGTGACCGAATTTTAGCGAAAATCTACAATTTAATATCGAAAATAGCTTTTTTTGTAAAATCTGGTAGGTCGGCATTCATGCCAAGCCGATTTCACACCTAATGACATATCTCCCATACCTAATGACATATAAAAACCTTCCCCTGACCCGATACGTGTGGAACAGCCGGACGGAAGTTGCATGCAAATGCACACACACAAACACTATTTTTTTATATATAGTAGGATACCTTGCGTCTCCTTCTCAAGCCAGACGAGAAATCGAGATATTTGACGTAAAAGCTAAGCACATCACTGCCAGCTCCAGCCGGGCCATCCCCGCCTCGGCATTTCTTCGCACATTTCGGTCGTTGTTCTGGCGGTTTACACCTTGTACAGGCTCGATGGCCACAGGCGAAGATGTACTCGTAGTTTTGGGAATCGGTGCAGAAACTGCACCCAACCCCAGCCAATATCTGGTGCGCCGTCACCCAGCCAAGCTCGGCGTCCTTGAAGAAACCGCCTGGAAAAATTAGTTACACAAACTTAACGTCTTCCTAACAATCTTGTAAGGAAGGTTTTGCTAAAAATCGGCTAGCCTCTCCTTTCCGAAAGAATTCTTGCTAGCTTGACCTTTCCTCAAGAATCTCTGCTAGCCTGCCCTTTCCTAAAGAATATCTGCTAGCCTGCCCATTCCTAAGGAATCTCTGCTAGCCTGCCAGTTTCCTAAAGAATCTTTGCTAGCCCGCCCATTCCTAAAGAATCTCTGCTGGCTTGCCCTTTCCTCAAGAATCTCTGCTAGCCTGCCCTTTCCTAGAATCTTTGCTAGCCTAGCATATCTTTGTAATACTGGCCTACCTTGAGTGATAATCTCCATGACGAAGCTTCCGGGACTCCCATCCGTTTTTCCTTGACACTTCTTACATCCCAATTTGCGGTCGGCCGTCAGAATCGCCCCATTTTCAACGGTGAACGCCGTTCCGCATTGTGGGCAATTCAGAAACTCGACCGTCTTTATCTGACTCCGCAGACTGGCAACTTTCGGCCGTAATAGGGGTTCCTGAGTTGGAGCATGCTAACGGAATGCATTTTGAAATCGATTTGCTTAGAATTTTTACCTCTGTCATCCGCAGTCGGAGAAGGCCCATCCTAATCTCGTTAGCTTTAAGGCTGCCGGAAGTTGGTTCCGCCATTTATTCGTTTGGGCTGGTTCTAAAGTGAAAAACGTCATGCTTTTCTTTCGGCTTAATTTAGTAAATTTTTGTGAAAACCTGGGGCAGGAGAAGCCATTTTTATTAAAGCCGTTGTTCTCGATTTTACTTATAAAAATTAAAAGAAAAAGAATGCAGCTCTTTCGCATTACCGTGGAGGGGGGGGACCGACATTTTTTGTATAAGCTTAAAAATGTCTCGTAGCCGAAGAATAAATATTTTAGTTTCATAGTGTTTTTTTGTGATAAGATAACTAATATATATCAACTATATTTCAATTAGGAAGCTATCAAAAAAAACTTTAAAAAATCGAAATTTTGCTCAAAAATCGCCAATTTTGGACGAAAAAGTCGATATTTTTTTTTATATTTTGGGCAAAAATTTGTAAAGCTTCACGTTTAGGAATGGTAAATAACCTTTTAGAAATAACTCTAATATTTATATTTGAAAAATCAGGTCCTAAGAATAATTTGGTCCACCCGATAATGCGAAGGAACCAAGAATTCAGCTTCTTGGCCTTAATTTTTTGGTGGTTAGAAGGATTACGACTGGATCAGGTAATATCAAGTATTTTTTTCTGAAATACAAACTATGCATAGAATTAAATGGCAATGAATAATATTGGCTGGAAAGTGATTTGTGGCCGCGGCCAATTGACAGCCACAATTTTCTTATGGCACAAAATGGCGCCCGTGGTGATACGCGTCCCCACAAATAATCGATTTCTGAAGGGACAAACGTTTTGTAATAATCTTGAACCTAAAATAAATAAATCTTTAAAAATAATCTAAAAATAACATTTTTTTCAGGTAATCGAGCTGCCGCCTAGCGAGCATGTCGGTCATCTACTGCCCTCCGTCATGTCGGTGTCGGATAGTGAGAGGTGGACAAGCTCCGGGACTGATCCACGACCAACAATTCAGGTACGAGTTGATCAGCTTTCCCTCGGAAACCCTGCTAGCCTGCCCTTTCCTAAAGAGTCTCTGCCGGCCTCCCCATTTCCTAAAGAATCTCTGCTAGTTTGCTCTACTCCCACTTGCTACGAATAATAATATTTTTTTTAGTTCCTCACCTTCATGCGACGCGCTACGCTGGACTTTACGAAAAGTCGGTTATTTCTGATTTTTTTTTTGGATTATTATATTTTAGGAATTTTCGAGGACGAGCCACTTCTAGAAGAGCTGCGCGGCTACAAATTCGACATCGGCTTTTCGGAGTGCTTGGAGGGCAGTGGATTTGGTAAGCTTTTTTCGAGGGCAGGCTAGCAGAGGCTCTTTAGGAAAAGACCTGCTAGCAAAGATTCTTCAAGAAAGGGTAGGCTAGCAGAGGTTATTTAAGAATGAAGAAGCTGGCAGAGATAATTTAAGAAAGGGCATGCTAGCAGATATTCTTTAGGAAAGGCAAGCCAGCAGAGATTCTTTAGGAAAGGGCAGGCTCAGAGATCTTTAGGAAAGGGCAGGCTAGCAGAGATTCTTTAGGAAAGGGCAGGCTAGCAGAGATTCTTTAGGAAAGGGCAGGCTAGCAGAGATTCTTTAGGAATGGGCAGGCAAGCAGAGATTCTTTAGGAAAGGGCAGGCTAGCAGAGATCCTTTAGGAAACAGGCTAGCAGGTATTTAGGAATTTAGAAAAATTAGCTTTTTTCAGCCATCTTCCACCGCATCGGCCTCGACAAGTACATCGGGATTTTGTCGTCTACATTCGGCGCGAGTTTCCCGTCAATTTTCGGGGCACCGATGGCGCCCGCATACGTGCCGTGTGGGTATTATTACGGACGAATTTTAATTTATTCCTGAAATAATTAATGAACTTTAATTCCGTTCGGAACCTTGACTTCAACGGGCCTTTAAAATCTGCGTTTCAGCGATGTCGTCGAGTTCAACGGATCAAATGAGCTTCGTGGAGCGAGCGATGAATTTGGTCGGATCGGTGATGGAAAAGTAAGGAAATTTGCCTAATTTTCTCTGCTAGCCTCCCTTTTTCCTAAAGGATCTTTGCTCGACTGCCCTTTCCTAAAAAATCTCTGCTAACACGCCTAAAAAAAGCTGCTTTTTCAGGCACATGATCACCGGCGGCTTCGCAATGTTTGACGACTATTTACGAACTGTCGATCCTGAATTTCCGAAAATAGAGGTGAGCCCACGAATTTTTGGTGTTTTTCCTCTAAGAATCTCTGCTAGTCTCCCTTTTTTCAGGATCTCCTCACCGGCTCCTCGTTTGTGCTGGCCAACGTCGAGCCCTACTACGATCATCCCCGCCCTCTAATCCTGAAGCTACAGTATTTCGGAGGGATTGCCGTGCCGGAACCCCGGCCATTAGAGCAGGTGACGTACTTTAAAATACTTTTTCTAACATTATTTTAGAAATGGAAAGATATCCTGAATCTCCGCCCGGCCACCGTGCTCATCTCGTTTGGAAGTATCGCGAAGAGCAAGGATATGCCGCGGGAATCGAAGATGGCCATTATCAAGGCTATTAAAAGGTAGGAAATGGGTAGCTAGCGGAGGTTTTTTAGGAAAGGGACTGGCTACAATTTATTAAAGGGGCTCAGAAGTCAAAATTCGTGCGTGCGGGGATTGAACCTACTGGTCAAAAAACGAAAGGGTCACTGCCGAGAAGTGCCAAAAAGTGATTTGATTGCGAAAAAACGTAAAATCTTTGAGAAAAACCGAATTCATTTTGGGACAAAAACGACATTTTGAGTGCGCGGCTATTACATGTCGTAATGCCTTGTAAGGCACCCAATCTCTCGATCTCGGTGATTCTCTGGCCAATGTTCATAATTTAAAAGTCTGGAATGATCAAAATTCGTTGAGAATTTCAAAAAAAGTATCAGAATTTTGAAATTCAAGCGTTTTCGCGTCCAAACAGAGGCTAAAGATAATGCGGCGCGGTCGCGTTGCGGCCGCATCTGGCTATTTGCCGGGAATCACAGCAGGGGGGCGTGGAGCAGATTTCGGAGCCCCTTTAAAAAGTTTGATTCCTTCGCATTATCGGTGGGATCAAAAATTTTTTCTTAGGATCCAATTTTTTTTAATAAAATAGCGGAATGGTTTTTAAACTGTTTTTGACTATTTCTAAACGTCAAAACTTTACAAATGGCCATTAAACGGTATTTCTTCACCTTGCATAATTACCATTTCGCATAATTGCATTTCGCATAATTTTTATTCCGTATAACGGTGATTTCGCATAACGATGATTTCGCATAACGCTTTTCGCCTAACGGCGATTTCGCATAACGGTCATTTCGCCGAACCATGATTTCGCATAACGATCATTTGGCATCATTTTCATTTCACCTAGCGATGATCTCGCATAACGTTTATTTCGCATATTTTTTAGTTAGTGGCAACCAAGAGCAAAACAGGGCGTTTTATATGATATGAAGTGCAGTAAAGGTATCAGACAACCGAAATGCCTAGCTACCATTTACGCGGATTCCGCATCTGTAATCAATGTCATGCTTTTGACCTAGTCTTGCGGCCAGATTTGCTAGTTTACACATGGATACTATCTACAACGTAGGATTTTTGGCCAAGTCCCTCAAAACAGACGTACACCTCATGGGGATGGATTTTGAGCAAGCTTGGGATATCTGCACGGAAGGGCGCAAAAAACCGCGCAGTTAGATTGTTTTTCATCGATTGCTAATTAGTAAGCTAGAGTTATATATACCATCGGCTGCCAATGGCGAAAATTATGCGAAATGACCGTTAGGCAAAATCCAAATTATGCGAAATGGTTGTTAGCTGAAATGAAAATTATGCGAAATGATCGTTATGCGAAATGACGGTTAGGCGAGATCACCGTTATGCGAAATCAGCGTTATACGAAATAAGCGTTATGCGAAACCACCCTTATGCGGAATAAAAATTATACGAAATACAATTATGCGAAATGGCGGTATGCGAAATGAAAATTATGCGAAATGACTGGAAATCCATTAAACAATGCAAAAAATATAGGTTTTACGACCAAAAATGGCTCCGTTTTGACCAAAAAAATTTGTCCCCCCCCCCCCCCGATAATGCGAAGAACCAAAGATTTTTCAGTTTCCCCGACGTCACCTTCATCTGGAAATATGAAGCCCCCGAAGAGCTTCCAGAAGCCCAAGAAGCGCCGAATTTGATTCTTCACCCCTGGGTGCCGCAAGCCGACTTACTCGGTAAGCTTTGGAAGCTTTACTTATTTTTTTCCCCTTTTCAGCCGACAACCGCCTGACGGCGTTCATCACCCACGGCGGCGCCGGCAGCGTCAACGAGTTTACCTGGCGAGGCAAAAAAGTAAGTTCTTCTGCATTCAGCTTCCTTCAATGCTAAATTTAGGCCATCGTCGTGCCCCTCTTTGCCGATCAATTCGCCAACGCGAAGCTGGTCGGCCGTGTGGGCAGCACGCTGGAGTACAACAAGTTCGAGCTGGGCGATGCCGCCAAGTTGGAGTCGGCGATACGGGAGCTGCTGGATAATGAAACGTGAGTTTTAGCGGTATTTCGAGTAAATCTCCTTTTTAGGCTAACCAAAAATGCGGAGCGGATGGCCGCGATGTTGGCGAATCGCCCCTTTCCGCCTCGTGAAGTTCTCCTGAAAACCACCGAGTTTGCGGCGGCGTACGGTAGGGAAAAGCATGACATAGTCCTCAAGCTGCCCAAGGAAAATTAGAAAAACTATTTAGAAACTTCTTACAAAGCAATTTAGGCCCGCTGACCGAGCTCGACCCACATGGTCGCCAGCTCTCCTTCATCGAGTACTTCTTGCTTGACGTAATTCTGGTCGTCCTCCTCGCCGTTGTGCTTGTCATCCTCGCATTTGTGTTTATTTTAAGAAGACTTTGTTCAAAATCCCAGAAAAGAAAGCATGAATAAAATTGCTCGAAAATTATGTAAAAACCGCATCCCATCGCTTGAAAATTCGCATTTTTTCGAAGAACAGACAGACAGCTAGATTGATAGTTTTTTAGATGCAGAGGAAATAAAATAAATACATTTCTTTTTTTTAGTTTTATTTTTAGTTTGGAAAGTCCATTACGATATGAAATAGTACGAATGCACCACCATTACGTGGAATACGGTATGGTAGCGTTCCGTTTTTCTCGCCCAGTTTTTCTTTTTTTTTAAATGCGACGAAAAGAATACGGTCTAGGATTGTAAATACAATCAATAAAAATAACTTTTTATATCTAGTTCGCGAATTTTATGTAAAAACTTGTAAACCGTTGCTTTTGTGAGGTATGGCGAGGTTTTTTGGTCTTCGCGGCCACGATTCTTGTGCTTTTTTGAACTTATCCGTTTGGAAACCCAGCAATTTGTTGCACTGCAGAGCTTTAAAATCAGTTACTAGCTTGGTGTTGCAATACTTCGATTGTTCACAAGTCTGTTTTACCTGACCTTACTTTTACTACCTGTTTTAGTTGTTTCGCGGCCTCGGTTGCCGTTTTTGCACTCTTCTTACGTCTTAATTCTTTTACCTTTTATTTCTTTCTGTTTTCCGTCTTTCTTTTGCGCTAGTTTCTTTCCCGGTAACTCGTAATCTCAGCTTTTGCACGGTGGGAGTAGCTCGCGGCGCTTGAAAACCGTCAAAAACACGTCTTGGCTCAGCTTTGCAATATTTCGAAGATTCACGCGTTCGAACAAGCTGATAGGCACTTTTTACACTTACTTCTTTCTTGGTAAATGCTCTATTGTCTATTCCTGTTGCTTTCCTAGTTGTGTTTTCATTAGCTTTCTTCCCAGGTACTCGTAAGCTTTGCGTTTTCGCAGTAGCAGTAGCTTACAGAGCTTTAAAACATCAAAAACGCTTTTTAGCACTATTTGCTTGGTAAAAATGCTACTTTCCATTTCTTCTTGTGCTCATACTTTCCTGGCTTTATCTAGTTTTTTCCAGGTACCCGTAACCTATGCGTGTCCGCCGCAATGGCGTCGAGACGGGCAGTCTCGTCCGCCGCTCAACCCTCGTTCGGCGCCGCAACAGCCAACGAACAGCCACCATCCTCCAGCGCAGCCGCGGCGTCGAATACTGCAGGTGCTGCGTCGGCCAGCTGCACGTCAAGGTAACTATTTTTTACCTTTATTTACCTGGTTTTCTTTAGCATTTTCTACTCATCCTCCAGCTGCTCTTCATTCTCATCGCCGGGTGGGGCCTCGTCGCTTCTTCCACACCCTTCAATACGGTCCTATACGCCCATCTTATGCCGAAAGAGTTGGTTTTTACGGCTTTTCACCAAAAATTTTTTTTCAGTTTTTCACCGGACTTCTGCCGTGAGTTTCTCTACTGGTTCTCCTTGTTCATCTGCTTCAGGTGCTCATTTTCCTGCGGATAACTTTATTTTTATTTTTTAGTGTGCTCTGCTGCGTGTGGGCCATGCGAAAAGTTCGCCGAATGTCACCGAACAGCCCGCACGGCGAGGGCAGCCGGCTCACCCCAGCGCTCGCGCTCCTTCCAATGTTGCTGGTGGAGGTAGAATCTAATTTTTCGAAATTTATGACTGGTTTTAGATAGTCTTGTTTCTCCCGTTGACGAGCTGGTCGGCGTCCACCTTCTCCTTCAGCCTGCTCGCGCTCAGGGCGGTCGAGACGGGCACACTGGCCGCGCGTCTATTTCAAGTCTTCCGCTTCTCGGTAGTGCCGGTAAGGATAAAATTCAGCTTTGTAAGAACAAGAAAAAACGTTTTTGAACGTTTTCGAAGCTTTTTGGACAGTTTTTGGCACTTTTAGAACGCTTCTAATGTGGTTTGAGTGATGAGAAACAATAAAAACAGCACAAAAAGTATAGTTTTTATTGTAATTTTAATTTTCGAGATCTAAAAAGAAAGCAAACCGTGTTAGATCGGTTTAAAACTTTTTTTGTAGGAATTATTTTGCGTGGAAGGAATTTTTATCTCTCGACGACGATAAAAAAATCTATTTTTAGGTGTGCTTCGTGTGGTTCTGCCTCGGCTACGCCATCTACTGCACCTGCGTCGGCTTCACCTACATCCACCGCCAGACGTCGCGCTCCGTGCAATTTTCACCGCTGCGCGAGGAGATCCCCGACAATTTCAACAACTCCATCTCGCTGGACTGCTCCATTGGCGGTATCACATTTTTTTCAGTTTTTATTTCTGTATTTCTAGATTTCCCGCCCGGCCTTCCCAGCACGCTCGGGTCGCCGTCAAGAATTCCGGGCCGCAGCAACAGCCTGCAGACGAGCCGCGCCCGTCAGATGAGATGCAGAAACCCGGATGGTATACATTTAGATCTTTAGTTTTAGAATACAGCTCACTTTAGTTTTTAAATTCTGCTTGATGCGCGCTTCTGCTAAAAAATGGGACATTTTGTCGAAAAACAGTGTTTTTTGACTGAATTTGTGGCAATTTTAGCTTCAGAATTGGCAAAATTGTTTAATAAATTCTTAAACTCGACGCCAATGATTAAAATTCAAGCGGATCACTTTTATAACTGTTCTAATTTTTATAATTTTCTAACATCTTTTTAGAGCTGACCATCTCGATCACGCCGGTTGACGAGACGTTCGTGGATGAAATGGAATCGCCGAGCAGATCCGGGTACGCGACTTCATGTTTTTTGTCAATAATATCTTTAGTGGGCGTCTCAACTCGTCTTTCTCATCGCTCCGCATCCTGCCCACGCTCAACGAGGACGAGGAGGCCACCACTCCGCCTGGCAAGGTAAAAAATTTACTGATTTCTTAGGTGCTTTCGCATTATCCGGGGGGGATGCCAAATTTTTTCTTGGGTCCGATTTATCAAATTTGTATAGAAGACGTTTTTCGAAGCGATTTTTTTACTATTCCAAAACGTAAAACTGCAAATTTGATGCAAAATGCCAGAAAAGATAGGTTTTCGACCAATAAATACCAATTTACGATAAAAAATTCCGTTAAAAAATATTTCTAGGTTTTTTTTATGGTTTTTTCACGTTTGATACAAAATTGTTTGGAAACACTATTAAAATTCGTTATTACGTTACTAGGCAGTTTTGCACTAGAACCCCCCTCGATAATACACAAGGATCATATTTTTATTTCCAGCTACGCCCCGAAGACATTGAGCTGAAAGTGAGCCCGGTGAACAGCATCTAATTCGACCGAAGCACCTTGCAAGCGCTCGACGGCAAGCAGTACAAGCCCCACGCACCGCTTTATTCATTGTTTGTTTTTCTGTTTTTCATGTTGTGCTCTCTACGGGATTATACATCGTTGATTGTTATTGAGAAGTTGATTGTGTTAAAATGAATAAATGTTTGACCATAAATACGCATGCGATGGTGGAAAGAATGATAAAATTGGTCACGGGTACTTGTTAAAATGAAACTGAAGGTGATATAAACAAAAATTTTGTGTTTTTGCCTGCATATGGAGTTTCTTTACAGGTTTATTTCTTGTCGTTCGAATTTAGATAGTTTTTGGGCTTTGTAAAATAGCTTATCTATCGCTTTTGAAACTTTAAAACTTCGACTTTTGATTTAGTGGCCGTTGTATTAATCATTTCGTCCTTTGACTTATAGGAAGGAGAGCGTCTCGATAGAGATTTTGTAAGGTTTGCTTCTTTAGCTGAATCGCAATCACGTTTTCCTATAGTTTTTGTAAGTTTAGTTTTTAGGTTTAGTGTGAAAGGAGCCTTCTGCCTGCACTCAATGCTTGATCATTTCTTTTCTCTCCGCTGTGTACATTTTTCTTGCGATTAGGTTCAGTTCCGATTCCAGAAAACTTGTCGAAGATGTGGCACGAAGACGGCGAGAAGAAGGTGCTCCCTTTTGAAGATGACGAAGAGGACAATGGATATTTCAACTGGTGGACGCCGGCGCCAAAGGTATTATTACTTTCTAAAGGTTTAAATAATTAAAATAGTTAGGATGGTGCTCGAAAAGTTCTATTTAGGCGAAATCGGGGTTTATAGTTAGTTTCGGGCGCATGTTGCTGATTTGAAAACTCTTCGAATAAAAGAAATTTCCTGATTATAGCGACGGATGTTCTTGTTTTTCCTGATATTAGATTCGCAATTAACCCTCGGCGGCTCTCTCAATCATCCTGTCGCCTTCAGCAAGCTTTTTTGTGCAAAACCGGCTGACTTTCTGCGCGGGTGCCCGGGATTTGTCCTGCTCCTCGTCGTCGGTGGATCGAACTCTTATTCGCATAAAAAAATTGCAACGCCCGGGTCAAATGAAGCTAGTTTAATTGGGCTTTACTGTTTAGGCAAGGGTGGGCGTTGTTTTCTCATCGTAGAAGTTTATTTCTTAGATTCTTTGAAGTTGAATCTTTTTACTTTTTTCGAAGGGTTTTTATCGGCGAAAGCTTTACAATTCTTGGGACAATTGAAGCTAGTTTCATTTTTTTTTAATGTTTAGCTAAGTTGGGCGTGATTTTCACATCTTAGAAGTTTATTTCATAGATTTTGTTGTAGATCAGTCTTTTTTTACTTTCTTTTGAAGCGTTTTGATTCGCGTAATTTTTGCAATTCCGGATCCAATGACGCCATTTGAACTGATTTTGATAATTTAGGAAGATGGGCGTTTTTTAAACATCGTATAGTAAAGTGTATTGTATTTATTAAATTTCTAGATATTTTCGATCGGCAGCAGCTTTACAATTTTCGTATCACATAAAGCTAGTTGAATTGGTTTTGCTAATCTAGGTCATTTTCAAAGTAGTATAAGTGTATTTATTAAAATCCTTGAATTTAATGAATGAAAATGTAAAAAAGTACAAACTTTTTAGCGGCAGGGACATGGCAGCTTTTACGCGCTTTTTTGCGGTTTTAGAACTTGCGAAACAGGATATTCTAGTATTTTTCAGGGTTGAGAAAATTTTCGTTTTTCATCTAGCGTAGGTATAGATGCTACTTTTGAGATAAGGAGACGATTTGTAGGTTATGAAACAACAAATCCACCCTTGAGCCGTCTTACTCTTTCCCCCCTAGTTATTACCTCGTGCACTTTGGATTTAACTACAGGGATGGCCGTGCTTATTTTTCCCATCACCGCGATGGGTGTTTACGCCAGAGCAGAGGACCCAGGCAGACGCGTTTCTCCTCCAAAACCAGGGAACGCCGACCTCGTGTAGACGCAGGCACATCGCCGTCAAGGGGTGTGGCCGGTTTTTGGGACAGGGGGCGGCCGGTGGTGTACGCTTCTCGCCGAGGTTTTACACACAAATCCCTGCTTTTTAGGCCCAGATTTAGCGGTTTCGTAGATATTAGCAGATTTTCAGCCGGATGCCGACCTTCAAAATTTCGCCAACCATAATACCGACAAGCCGAAATCATAGCCAAGATGACGGTGAAAATCGTTAGATTAGTGCACGAACAGCTAGCATTAGCCATGATATTAGCAGATCTCTATCGTCATGGCGCCATTTTAGTTGCCGTGATTCCGGCCTCTCGGCATTTTTACTGTTTCCCTGGAATACTGACATTGAAGATTTCGACAGTCATAATGCCGACAAGCCGAAATCAACCGCTAGCGAAATCGAACGAAAATGGATTTTTTTGTTTTAAGCGATATGGCTAGGAATTAAATATCATTTATTTACTTATTTAGAAAACTTAGAAAATGTTTGCAAATGAATTTTGATCCACAATAGGCCAAACGATTAGGCGACAATCCGCCAGATAGTTCCAGATTGAAATGCCGAATGGCAAAATTGGATCCCGATGTTGAAACCATAGCCGTTTCAAAAACCTAACGAGAACAGTGTTTTTATAGGCGTCATCGCGGCTTATCGGCGTTTTCGTTGTCGGTATTTTGACTTTCGTCATTCCGGCTTGTCGGTATTTTGGGTGTTTTCAATAGTTCCAATACTTAGTTATTTTTCCCAGCGAGCTAGTGCACATTTCGAGAAAAACTGACGAGACAGCGCGGCCGGCGCGGTTCCACGATTTGACGGAGGTTGTCGAGAGTTTTTGCGGGTGGGGCGAGAGATCAGGACATAGTGGAGGGACAGAGAAGGCGAGAGAGAGAGAGAGAGAGAGAGAGAGAGGGAGAGGGGGGGAGAAAAAACTGGAATCCCTGGGTGTGGGGCGTGATCGGGTGGATAGAATGGGCGAGGCATGGAGGGGGGCAGACACAGCTGTTTGTCAGCCTCGTGCACAAAAGGGGAGGGGGGGGGGAGGGGGGGGGGGGAGAGAGAGAGAGAGAGAGACGGGCACACGCCCCTGAGAGTCCCCCCAGTGGGATCGGGGCGGTTCTCCCGGGGGTTGGGGCGGTGCTGCAGGAATATAGAGCACATCCAGGAGCACCCAGACACACCCATGCGTCGCGTGCGCGCGGCGACGCTTTGGGGGAAGGGCGCGGGCGGAGCATCAGTCGCCCCACCCCCACACTGAACCCCTCCTCCTCGCCCCCCTCCACCCAACCAGCCAGCCAGGGCCCCTCCCTCATGGCCGAGCCATCCAACATGGTCCAGAAGGCGAACGGCGTCGCCCCGCAAAAGGTAGATTAGCAACTGGAATTCAGCTGTGTTCATTGGAAATGCTGCCCGGCACGCCGACGGCGCGATCCGATCGAATATCGATTTGTACGGCGCGGGTGAAGCCGCCGGGGATGCGCGGGAAATTTGGGGTTTTGCGTTATTTAGGTGTTTATAGATTAGAATCGGCTTCTAGAGCTTTGTTAGCGTGTTCTACTGTTTTTTTGCTCATTTTAACTATACCTAAATTGTAAGAAAAACAAAAAATTCATAATTTTCAGGGCGGGAAATTTGGGGTTAGTTTACTTTAGTTTCGACTTTTATAGAATAGAATCGATTTTTAAAGCTTTGTTAGCGTGTTCTACTCTTTTTTAGTTAATTTAACTATATTTAAATCACCACTATATATAAAATAGTGTTTGTGTGTGTGTGTGTGTATGTTGCATGCACTTCCCGTTTTGGATGTTCCACACCTACAGCCCTCGGGAAGCATTTTCGGTAGGAAGAAACTTCATAGGGTAAAGGGATGGTCCGGAATCAGCTGCACACACATAAAAGTTTTCAAAATTGCTATTTTCGATATTAAAATTGAGGTTTTTGTAAAGTTTTCTGCCAACCTCTTTGTTAGGAAGCAATTAGCATACGGCGGAGTGGAAATGGTTTATAAAAAGGAAGAGAGGGCGCGCTTTCATTTTTTGTGTTAAGCGGTTTTCGGCAAGGTTATGCAAAGTCCAACCTTCATCGATCCCCTAGACGGGGCCAGGGTTAAGCTGCGAAGCGGTTTTCAACCCCAATTGTAGAGAAACCATATTTATGATTTTCCGGTTGGGAAGTTTTGGGGTCTTGCGTATTTTGGGTTCTTCTAGCGTTTAATGGGATTTTCAGGCTTTGTCAGCGTGTTACATTCCTTTTTAGTTAATTTAATCTTATTTGAATTGTAAGAAAAACAAACAATTCAGAATTCTGGCAAATATTTTTAGTTTTTTCGTGGTTTCTTCGATTTCCGGGTTAGTTGGCTCTCGTATCGGCTTCTTTCTAGCTCGATGGCTTTCTAGCTAGATTACGTTTCCCTATCAGATCGGAGAAAAATAGAAATCAAACACACTTATAAATCCATTCATTCAACTCTCCGTTTTCAGGTGTTCCTCCTAAGCCGAACCAGAGCCAGCAACCCACAGCAATAAGTCTCACCTCCTCCAGCCCAGCACCACCCTCAAATGGCAGACAGGTTTGTCATCTTAGTTTCATTGCGTAACAGAATTAGCAGTTTTTTGAGCACTCATTAGTTGAGAACTTATGCTCTTTTTCTATTTTTCGCTCAAAATCCCGCAAAACTGCCAGCTTTTTTCATCCGCATTTTTTTTCAGTTGGAGTTCATCCCGATCAGGCGCCCCGCCCACCCAAATAAATGTCTAAGGAAGAAGCCGGCGGTGCTTCGCCACGATGCAGCCCGTTGTCCAGATCTCCCCAGAATACGACTGTCGAGACGCTGGAGGGCGGAAAGGTAATATTTGGCTTTAGAACAGCTTCGAAATTCATATTTTCGACAGTTTCCGTTCACGAAGCCTTAAAAAGGTCCAAAATTATGCCGACAGCTTCGAAAATACGGAAATCTCAATAGAAAAAGAAAAATATAAATGCCGAAAAGTATTTTCCATTTTTATTTAGGAAAATCAGTGCTTTTCAAATGAGCACGTGGAAATCGATTAAACGAAAATTTAGCTCTAGGAAAACCCAATAAAACTGAAATTATGATTTATAAAACTAAATTCCCATTTTCAGGTGGACACCGCCCCTCCAGCGCCTGAACCCGTTCTCGCACAACAACGGATAACACTGGGTCCGTCGTATTTCAAATCAAATCAATTATTTTAGGAAATCTCCAATTCCAACAAGATCCGAACGACCCGCAGAAGTGGATCATCTGTACCAACGAGGCGCCGGCCACCACGTCCCACCCCAACAAATAAAGTGCGGCTTATCATATTTTTCTGGAAATTTTGTTACCACTTATTACGCTGCTTTTTCTTCTGTTTTCTGTATTTAGTCTTTCTTTTTCTAGGCTTGGTGACTATGGATTTAGTCGTATCCGCGAAAACCTAACGCACAGACCCTTTCCGTTACGTCATCGATTAACAGCGTCACAGCGAAGGAATGCTCGTTGCGTGTCGCGGGCGGCTTCCTCAATCCATGGTCGACGGTTTCCCGTTTCTTTGTTTCTTCTTGGTTCTTGAGCTTTTGTCCATCTTTGACTTGGGCGTAGGCTTCGGTTTATTTGCTTCGTTTTACGCGTTTCGAGCTCCAGACTGAACTGGGGCTTAGCTTTGGCTTGAACCACGTTCGATTTTACCATCTCCTCGTCCCGCTTAGTTTTCCAGCCTTCGAATAGCTTTTTTGAAACTTGGGCTTTCGGCTTCGACAAGTCTATAAGCTTTGCCAGCTTATTAGCTTACTAGCTTATTTTAAGCCCAGTTTTCTCTTTAAACTTATCTTAGGCTTAGCTTTTCTCTTTCATATGGCTTGAGCTTAGCTTGCTCTTAGAATTTCGATTAGCCTTGTCCGAAGCTTGCCTTTCTAGCTTCTCTTTAGGTTTGTTTCCGTTACTCAAACATCTGATTTTTTCCAGCGAAGCGATCGAGGAAAGAGCTTTTCCGGGCTTAACGGTTCTTTTCTTCCTGTCCCTTCTAATCTTTCTCTTGTCTCTGGGTCTGTAACCTACTTCGTGTCCTTGGAAATAGGTTTCATACATAATTTTATTTGGCGATTAGTCTTTTTTAACTTTTCCTTTCTCGACCACGTCACAGCACAACGAGTTGTCGGTGATCGAGTACGACCTAGATGCCGCCGACAAGGGCATGGGCGCGTCTTGGGTGATGGTAGGAGAGAAAGTTTATAATTTTGATAGTTTTGCTTATTTCCCGGGATACTCTGATGCCGAAGGCCGTTACGGATCTCTCGGAATAAGGCTCGAAACGGCTCCGCGTGCACCTGTCCGAACTGTCAAGTTGGCGTGAATCAAAAGGTACGTATTACATTAAACCCCCCCATAAATCTCTTCGCCCTCTCTCTCTCTCTCTCCTCTCTTCTCGTTTGTTATTGCCAAACTAAATTCTGTACTTTACAATTTTATTCTCCCGTTTTCAGTGTCCTTCCCGACGGCCGGCCCTCTCGCTATTCACATCTGCCACATATGCCAGAAGACGTACGGCAAAACTTCGCATCTACGCGCCCACTAGGTATAGATCTTGAAGCGCCTTTTATATAAAATAACCATTTTCAGAGGCCACGCGGGCAACAAGCCGTTCGCCTGTGACTGTGCTTCACTGCATGAAGAGGTTCACCCGCAGCGACGAATTGCAAGGCACCGTAGGTTGGTGCCAGATTAAGCTTTCTCCTTTTTTTATCTCTCTCTCTCTCTCTCTCTCTCTCTCTCTACCTCTCCCTCCCTCTCTCTCTGCTCTGATTCGCTCTCTAACACTGGCTTATTTTAAACTCGCTTTCCTTCCTGCGTCAGACTGAATGTCTATCTAGATATCTCTCTCGCTTTCTCTCCCGGCTCCGCTCTCTCTCTCTCTCCCTCTCTCTTTATCTATCTCTCCCGCGCTCTATTCTCTCTATCTGAAGAAATTTTCATTAAGGGCGATTCAAAAATTTTATCGAAAAACCTCGGAGATAATTTTGAACCTTCCATTTCAGGACACACCGGCGAGAACGGTTCGCCTGCGGTCATTGTGGCAAAGAAATTCATGCGATCCGACCATCTGACGAAACACGAACGCACACACAACCCCGCCGGCGAAT